GGGTGTAATATAATATAGTCTGCGATCAATTGGCAACACCAGCGCTCTCACCGCCTCAACATTCCGAGATTCGCTAGTTGTCGCCATTCGAAACCAGATTCGGATGCCGGCAACTCTTGGTGTGATTGGCCTAGCATCAAAGTGGTCTGCTATCCATCGATCACCCCAAATAGCAGTAGAATCTCCATCGACCACCCTTCTGATCAGACCCCGCTGTAGTATGTCTCGGCCTGCTAGGATCGCCCTCCACGTACTGCTCGCGTGCTTTTTCTGGGTAGTCCTCAAGAACTCCATGTCATGATAATAGCACCCTTTAAGAACTCTCGCACAAAGTGAGTTTGGTCTCGTGATGAGGCGCCAACCTTGCTTTCCAAGCATTGCCAAGTTGAAACTCCTCATGTCTCGAAAACCCATGCCTCCTTTGTGTTTCGGTTGATTAAGACGCTCCCAACTCATCCAATGCATGTGCCGGTTATCAGCAGAGCTACCCCACCAATAATTGGCCACAACACTTCTCATCTTGTTGCATATATTGAGAGGTAGAAGAAAGCAACTCATAGAATAAGTGGGTACCGCCTGGGCAATTGATTCAATCAAAACCTCTCTACCTGCACAACTTGCCTCACGTCCGCACCAACTTTCAATTCTACCTTTCACCTGGGATGGCAGGTATTCAAAACAGTCGCTCAAATTTCTTCCTGCCTCCGTGGGTAGTCCCAGATAGTGTTCAGCCAGGGCTTCCTTTTGGATATCAAGCCTCTGACTGACCACTTGCTTCATCTCCGCAGGATAGTTTTTGCTGAAGAATATGGTTGATTTATCTCGATTTACCAACTGTCCGGATCCACGATGATATCTGTCCAGAATCTCTACCAGTCTCTCAGCCCCTCCTTGCGATGCTTCAGAAAATACTATGCAGTCATCCGCAAAGAGCAGGTGCGATATCCAGGGGGAGTGAACTCCAACTCTTATACCCCTTGATATGTACACTGGACCAACAGCTTTCAGCATACAAGATAAACCCTGAGAGCATAGCAAGAATAGGTATGAGGAAATGGGATCCCCTTGCCTGATTCCTCTAGATGGTCTGAAGGTATCAGTCAATACGCCATTGATTTTGATAGTGAAACAAACTGTTGTTACACACCTCATAATACGGTTCACAAAATCAGCATGAAAACCAAGTTTTAGCATGATCCTTCTAAGATACTCCCACTCTACACGATCATACGCCTTGGCCATGTCCAATTTCACAAAGACACGCCCAGATTTCCTTTCTTCCTTTTCGATAATGGATGCACTCATAAGCTATGAATACATTGTGCGTTATCAAGCGCCCAGCACAAAGGCGCCCGCTCTTCTATAATAATATCATCTAAGAATTCACGCATTCTTATAGCCGTAACCTTTGAGCATAACTTGTACAGTAACATTACATAAAGAAATAGATCTAAATTCTTTCATAACCCGAGGATTTCTTGTCTTGGGAATTAAAATAATGGTAGTAAGGTTAATATCATCCCAAGATACTTCCACCATTGAGAAAATCCAACACCATTTCACAGATCTCGTTGTTCATCAAATCCCAAGTAGAATCGGTAAAAGCCACCAGAAATCCATCCGCCCCGGCTTTGTTTCGGCTTCATAAGTTGCAAAGCTTGATCAACCTCCGCAAATTGAGTAAGGCCATAGCAAATGGTCATTCATCTCATCGAGACCTTGGGAAACACGTGATCAAGCACCGTGTCCCAAGAACAACTCTTCCTCTCGGGCCGAGAAGAGTGGCGGTAGTAGTTAGTAGCGATCTCTCTATTTCCGCCGCCCGCTGCCATCGACCCATCTTCTCTTCGCAGAGCCATAATTTTATTCCTCTTGGCCCGTGCTCGTGACTTGGCTTGAAACATCGCCGTATTGCGATCTCCATCCTTAAGCCAATCAAGACGCGCTCTCTGTCTTTCCATAATTTCTTCTCTTGATAGCATTTCAGACATCCGCGCCATAATTTGTCGCTTGTGTCTAGAAGGTCCCGAGCCCAACGATTGCCCTCGGACTTCCTCCACTCACGCCTAAGAGTTGCCAACGCCTTCAAGACCGAGCCAAAGACGCCCCGCTCCTGTGTCTCAGAAGCGAGGACTCGCACACCTTTTAGCTTTGTGTGCATGTCTCCCAATCCAAAGAGCTCCTCCATTCGATGACCAAGCATCACGAATAAGAGCCATGTAGAAGAAGGGTCACGCTGCCACATGTTTTCATAGCGAAAATTTTGCTTTCGTCTTCTCCTGTTCAAGGAGTGTTCCAAGCATTCTACCACCAAAGGCACAAGTGGTCCGATATTGTCGCTTGAACATGCTGCACCTTAACTTCATGGAACAAGTCAAGAAAGTCATCATTTGCCAACCCCCGGTCCAACCTAACCTTTATGTTGTGAGCATCATCTTGCCGGTTGTCCTGTGTACAGAGACCAATGAAGCCTAGGTCCGTGAAGCCACACATCGCCATCGCTTCTCGAAACCCTCCATCCGCTGCTCACTTCTTCCAAAGACCCCAAATTGCTCGTTGGCATGCAAAGTCTCATTGAAATCCCTACACGAGCCATGGCAAAGTGAGTCTGCGACCCTTGAGCATCTTAAGACAATCCCAACTCCTATATCTTAACTCTCTCCTTGCCTCACCATAGAAACCAGTGAAGCGCCACTTTTCCCTGTTTGTCATTGGATCAAGCACCGCCACATCTATATGAAGCTTGTCAAGACTTTGGAGCTTTACACAAACTTCATCTTTCCACAACAGTGCAAGTCCGCCACCTCTTCCATTGGTTCCCACGCCTAAACCATGCGCAAAACCAAGTGATCTTAACAAAACATCCACCCTATCCGAGAAGAAACTAGTCTCAGACAAGAAAACCACCACCGGGCGATGTAGCTCACAAAGGCTACGGAGGTCGCGAACTGCCTCGGGTTGCCCTAAACCCCGGCAGTTCAAGCTTAATATTTTCATTGTGCCCGACGGGGACTGCCACTTGCAGCTGCCGCCGATCGTGCATTTTGTGAAGTTGTGCCTCTCTTCTGCTTCTTCAGCATTTCCACCATACTCTCACCGCTTTTTTCGGAACCTCCATCTAGCTGGTTCAATCTTGAACTCACAAGGCCTACCGGAACAATGGCATTAGAAGCCTCAGCCGATACATTAAGGTCTGGGGTCTGCAGGTTTTGGCCAGCCCCCTTCGACTTGCGTTTCCGGGGTAGCCTGGTATCCATGACCGGCTGGCCTTTCCCTGCAGTTCCCTCTGTATTCCTCTTTTTCAACGGTGACTGAACTTCTCTTTCTTCTAGATTTTCCACTGGTTCTGAAGCTGAGAACCGGGATTCGTCTCCCAGAGACGATCGGTCAACACTAGAACGACAATGATCGTTGGATGGCCTGTACGTCGAGGAGCCGCTACCAAAGGACTCAGCTGCAGCTCCCGCGAAGGACTGTACTCTTCTCCTACGTTCCTCCAGTGCTCTCAGAGGGACATCATAAGGTAGTTTGCCGAACTCATTACGTGGTGCCGGGTGTGGGCAATCGATCTCTGAGTGACCCATTAGACCACATGAGAAGCAATAATAAGGAAGACGTTCATACTGCGCCTCAAACCACTTTGGCTTGCTTTTAAAAAATAACTAAAAATCTAACTGCTTAAACATATAGTCATATAGATGTATAGTCAAACTATTCTTTCCGTAAGATCCACTAGCTTGTTTTGGAAATTCCATCGTCGAGATTAGACTATTAGAGTTGCGAAATACTTACTTGTTTGTTAATGAGTGTAACCATTGCAGAAAGAGAGAAAAAGAGATGCTTTGAAGCATGATTAAATCGAGTTTTGCGGTTTGGAGGAGTTTCAGGTGATTAGGGGGTGGTTATATTCAGTACCAAGGGGGTTGAAGCTTTCAGAGGGTTTTCATAAAATTTAAATTTGGAACGACTGTCGAGTCATAACACAAACGAACCAAAGAATGCAGCGGATAATTAACACGTTTTCTATTGAAAGCGGCAAGATTTATAAGCAAACTGTCAAAAGGTAGCTATCGGGCTTACGTAACAAAGAATGACTAGCTTTTGAATAAATTAGCAAAGGAGTCGTCGAAACTCTCGTTCGGGAGGGACCCTGTCGGAGTAAGGACGTCGGACATCAAGCGTAGGGCACCATTTTTGTCATAGGAACAAGGTATGGACAACAACATGGAGACGAAAGAGTAAAATGTAGAAAACGGTAGCAGATTGGTTTTTCATTGATTGTGTATGGTTGTACCTTAATCAGCCATAATCCTCCAATATATATAAAGTAGAGTGGTCTTATTATAGTAGAAAGCTCCCTAGTCTACAAGATCAGAGAAGTTCCGATCAGATCTGGGAACAACAAGCAATTCCGACGCCCAACTCCCGACTCGCAGGTTGGAACTTCTGATATGTGTTGGAAGTTCTAACACCTCAACCTCCCAAACAAATTTAACCTCCTCTGACTTTTTTCTGTCAACAACTTTATTGTTGGGAACAACAAGGATGAGGTAGTTTTGTTTTTTTGGTGCGTGTCTCGTTGTTTGGTGATTGGGTTACAAACTTTTTTCTTCTTAATATATAATATAATGATACGTAATTTTCGTGAAGCAAATTAGAGCTGCATCTTGCGGGAAACAGTTGTAGTGGACAGAATGGGAAAATGCATATCTAGTTTGTGCACGCGCGCGCGTGCAGACAGATAAAGACATGAGCCGTGATAGATTTGATTGTGTTGATTGGTGGTGTTCTTCCGGTCAGCAAGGGTTAAAAACATGTTGGTATCCAAATCATAGTGAAAGATTTGACAGTCAACACAATCAGATAATACATACATATTTATGAAAAAAATAATAAAGCTAAAGCGTCACATATACGTTTTCTATTTCAAAAGGAAGTAGAGATGATTTACAGGCATCATAGGTTATTAACTGGTAATACAAATCACTACAAAGTTGTTGCTACGCCTCAAGAGGTCTGGCAAAGATGAGGTATGAATCTCGGATAGCATGCATCTCAATTGTTGCATCATGTATAAGTATTCGCTCTCTGGGTTGTTTCTCCGAGCAGGATATCCCAAGACCAATGGCAGAAATCAAACAACTTTCAATTCGAGTTCTTGTAGTGCTATCATGAGTGGCTGTGTGCAGCCACATTGCTGTGTCGGCTACCTCCCAGATTCTTTTTGGAAGAGCATCTTTGCAAAACTTGTGCAGATCTAGTGAACCTCTGAACATATCATCAATCGGGCTCTTTCCAGTAAACATCTCGAGCAACAAAATGCCGAGACTATAAACATCACCAAGAGCTGAAACATAAGAACCTTCACCATACTCTGATTGTTCAATAAGTTATTCATCAGAGCGTGATGTTAAGAGGAGAACTATGGATATAATAATAAAATCCAAAATAAAGTATTTTGAATTACCTGGGGCAACATAACCAACAGAACCTCTTATTCCGAACATGCTGTTGGAATTTTGTATGGTTTGACTTGCACATTCTGCGAGGATTCTTGACAGGCCAAAGTCTCCAATTCGAGCACTCATGTCTTCTGCAAGAAGGATGTTGCTTGGCTTAATATCACAGTGAATGATCGGTGGATGACAGTGATTATGAAGATAATCCAAAGCATCCATAACATCAACAGCAATATCTAGCCGTTGTGCTAGGTTGAGAGTATTGCTTGGAGTGCGCAAGCCAAACTTTGGATGAAGCCAGTCATTTAAGCTACCATTGGGCATGAACTCAAAAACCAATGCCTTGAACTCTTGACCTTGGTGATTGATGCTTGAGCAACATGTGATGATCTTTATGAGACATCGGTGGCGTACCCTTCTCAATGCCTCACATTCAACCGTAAAACTTCTAGTAGATCCATGTTGTTCGGGGTTAAAAACCTTCACAGCTGCAATAGTTCCTTCATCTTCAAAAGTGCATTTATAGACTGCCCCAAAGCTTCCTTTACCAAGCAAATTGGCTTCAGAAAACCCATTGGTCCCATTTGATAATGCATGATAAGAAAGTCTTCCATACTGTTCCTCAGCTAATGTCGGTCCGATGCAGCTCTTATGCTTTCGTGCAAACAGAATAAGTGTAATGGCTAAACCTAAGAAGAAGAGAGCACTTGCTGTTCCCAGGACTATTGAAATATACCTCAGCTGTACTTTTCTGCTCTGTTTCACAGAATTATTGTGGCATGGAGCTAAATGAAGCTGAGGTATTCCACCACAGAGCTCATTATTTCCGGTGATTGAAAATTCGGTCAAGTTTCTGAAAATGCCCTCTCTTGGTACTTCCCCTTGCAGATTGTTGAAAGATAGATCTAGTTCGTACAGTGATGTCAGGTTCTGAAGCGTTGTAGGAATGGTTCCGGACAAGTTGTTGTGTGCCATATGCAAATATTGCAAACTGCGTATACTACCAATGCCATTAGGAATAGTACCAGACAACTTATTCATGGACAAATCAAGTGCACTTAGACCCTTTATATTGCATATAGATTGAGGGATAGTTCCTGAAATGAGTTGTTGTCCAACATTAGCCCTTCCAACACCGCGCAGCTCCCAATACTATCTGGTATCTCACCAGATAATTGGTTTCAGACAGAACTAGGACATTAAGGTTCCCAAGCTACCAACTTCAGAAGGAAGGGATCCTGATAGTAAATTATATGATAAGTTGCAAATAAGAAGTACTGGTAGTTTGAAAATATCTTTGGGAATTGAACCGTTTAGGCGGTTCATTGACAGATCAAGGGTTATCAAATTCCTCAGCTTCCCTACGCTTGCAGGAATTGAACCCTCCAGTTTGCCATTGTATGCAGTTAATTTCGACAGCTGCGAGATATTTCCCAAAGATGAAGGTATGAGACCTGACAGTTGAGTATCATACATCTCTAGCACAACCAAGTTCCCTAGCTTGCCAATGCTTTCTGGAACTACTCCAGATATGCATGTATTCGCCACACTGAGAAATTCGAGGCTTGCAAGATTTCCAATGTCAGATGGGATGCTCCCTGACACCCTACTGTTTTTCAACCAAAAGAATTTTAGTGTTGTTGAGAGATTCGCTATTGAAGTTGGCAGCTGACCCGTGAAAGCGACGTTGTTGCCAATATCCAGTTCTTGGAGTTGGGTGCAGTTTGACAAGGAAGTGACGAATTCCCACCCTCTCTGTCATTCGCTTGAAGCATGTTACTGTGCAAGTATAGGAATTGTAGAGCTGCAACTGCCCCAAAGTGCGAGGCACATGCCCACTTAGGCTATTACTGCCGAGTTCAAGGTCTATGAGTGCAGTGAGGTTTGAGAGCGAAGCAGGGATGGATCCAGTGAACTGATTCTGAGAAAAGGAAAGATACCTCATGCCAGGAAAACTGTTGCCGATATCAGCAGGCATGTTTCCATGCAGCATGTTCCCTTCGAGCTGCAACATGGTCAGCGAAGATAGGTTGTACAAGGAGCAGGGCGGCTCACCGACGAGACGGTTAAACTCGAGGTTCAGGTACTGGAGGCCCTGGAGGCAGCCGAGGCCTGGAGGGATCTCGCCATTGAGATAATTGTACGAGAGGTCCAGGGCCCAGCAACTCAGGGATGACAAGTTGGCGAGCGACGCCGGGATGGCCCCTGTGAGGTTGTTGTCCCGCAGGTTGAGCACCTGCAAGAGCATGAGCTTGGTACCGATATCGTGGGGCACGCGACCCTGGAGCTGCTTGGAACGGAGGTGAATGGCCGTGAGTCTGGTGCAGGATGTCAAGTTCACAGGGAGGTCGCCGGTGAGGGTGTTATTCTGCATGTCGAGGGCCCGGAGGTGGTGCAGGTGGCCAAGACTCGCGGGGATGGCCCCGCTGAACGCGTTGGAGCTCAGGTTCAGGACCCTGAGGGATGACAGGTTGCCGATCGCCGGCGAGAGGTAGCCGACGAGCCTGCGTGAGTGCAGGCTCAGCGCCACAACTCGCGGTCGCTGGTGCTGCTTGCCTCGGCATGTCACCCCCTCCCAGCTGCAGAACCCACCGGCGGTGCTGCTGCTGTCGTTCCACGAAGCAAGCGGGTCATCGTACCCTCCGCTGATTGCCGCAGCCTTGAAGGCCAGCAGTGCGGCCTTGTCGTCGTCGGCTCCAGCTGCAGCACCGCCGGCCTTCAAGGCAAGCTCAGGTGACAGTGACACGAGGAAGGGTACCACTACCACCAGCAGCAGCAGTGAACTCAAGGAACACATGTACATTGCCATTTCGAGTGCTTTAGTGTGTAGTGGCGATAGCCGAGGGCAGTCGTCGTTGATGGTTTATAGCTAATTAACTTAACTTAATGGTGGAGAGCAGGTGAAATATGTGATTCTTTTCTTTAATGGAAACTAAACTGTGGAGCAAAGCTCCCCAGCACTTTATTGAAAAAGTAAATCTGTACAAAGAAGCCCTTTACAAAGCAGTATGGTTAGCATAGAACTAACCAAGAACACTTTATTGAAAATTAGTGTGATTCTTCTTACTCTACTTTTCTCCGTAAATGACATTGTTTTTAGCCGTCCTGGTGCATCGAGTCCACGATTACTACTCCAGTGATTCATGGTCTTACAGCCCCGATTCTTCGCGAGGGCGATTGCGGGTTGGTTATTCACCATCGATGCTGATGGGTGAGCTTCCACACCGGTCAGCTTGTCCAGCAGCCGGCGTATCCACACAGCTTGGCACGCCGCTGTGGCCGTCGCCACGTACTCTGCCTCACACGTGGATAGTGCCACCACCTTCTGTTTCAACGACAGCCATAAGATTGGAGCCGACCCGAGAAAAACGAGCACGCTAGAGGTGCTCCGCCGTCCGTCGATGTTCTCCGCCATGTCTACATCGCTGAACACAGTGAGCTGCAACCTACTTTCGCCGGTCTTGGGGAAGACGATCCCCTAATCTACCACCCCCTTGACGTAGCGCAGTAGCCGCTTCACCGCAGCCCAGTGATTCTCTCTGGGATCTTCCATGAAGCGACTGACGTAGCCCACGACGGCTTGGACTCAGCCATGCCGCTCCGCTCCAACGGCTTCGAGGCGTACGCGCTCTGACCGAGCGTGAGCGCCTCCTTCCCCTGTTTCACCTCGATGCCGAGGTAGTAGGAAAGCGTGCCGGGATCGCTCATTCGAAAATGAGCCGCCATCTCACGCTTGAAGCTGTCGATGTCCTCCACACGCGCGTCGGTGACGATCAAGTCGTCCACATACACGCCGACAACGAGCTCTTCCTTCTCCCGTCGCCACGTGTAGAGCGCATGCTCGGTTGTGCACCTCGTGAATTCAAGCTCGCCCAGCGTAGCGTCAAGCTTGGTGTTCCACCCTCGTGGGGCCCGCCGTAGCCCGTAGAGCGCCTTGGGCAGTCGGAGCACCCTGTGCTCTGCTCCCTTGACGGCGAAACCCAGAGGTTGTCTGACGAAGACCGTCTCCGCTAGCTCGCCACTGAGGAAGGCCGATTTTACGTCCAGGTGATGGACACGCTAGTCCTTCGCTGCTGCCAAAGCCAAAAGCAGTCGAACAGACTCCATGCGCGCTACTGGCGCAAAGACTTCCTCGAAGTCAATGCCCTCGCGCTGGACAAAGCCTCGGGCGACGAGACGCGCCTTGTGTTTGACAATGGCGCCGTGCTCGTCCCGCTTGACCTTGTACACCCACTTCTGGCCGATCGGACGGCATCCTGGAGGTGGATCGACGAGCTCCCAAGTCTCGTTTTCATCGATCGCCTTCATCTCCTCCAGCATTGCCCGCCGCCAATTCCCATCGCGCTCGCCCAGCGCGAACATGGGTAGTTCCTCTGCACTGACGAGAAGCAGCTCTAGGTCATTGAGCAGTCGTCCCGCCAGGCCTGAGGGCCCTGTGCCGCCGATGATGCCGTCCAGCCTATGGAACCGCACCTCCTCACCGTCGTGGAAGGCATCCACGAACTCAGTGATGTCACTTGGAGGTGAGGCGAACTCGATCAGCGTCGATGGAGTTCCCTGTTCCGCCGGAGTGATCTACACAGCACCTAGAGTGCTCAGCACCCCGGCTACAGTGCTCGGCACTACTCCTGGATCGCTCGTCACCACTCCTGGAGTGGTCGACACCCCTCCCAGAGTGCTCGGCACCAGTCTTATAGTGGTCGGCACCACTGCAAGACCTCTCGGCTCCGCTACGGGAGTGTTCTGCACCCGTCCTAGAGTGGTCAGCACCACTGCAGGACCACTCCGCACCTCCTCTCCAGCGTCTCCATCACCGTGGATGACCAAGTTCTTGACGACGAAGGTGCTAGTGAAGCCGCCAGCTTCCCCCGTGCTTGGACTGTTCCAGTCCCAGGCCACCTTCTCGTCGAACACGATGTCGCGCGAGACAAGCACCTTGCCTCCATGTGGGTCATAGAGCCGGTATGCCTTGGTACCTTTCGCGTAGCCCAGGAACACCATCGGTGTGCTCCTGTCCTCCAGCTTGGTGAGGACCGGCTTCGTCTTCCTGATGTGGCCAATGTAACCGAATATCCGGAGGAACGACACATTCGACTTGCGTTCATACCAAGCTTCGAACGGCGTCTTGCCCTTTAGGGCCTTGATGGACGCGTGGTTGAGGATGAACACCGCCGTGGTCACCGCCTCACCCCAGAACCTTGTCGGCATGCTCTTGGCCTTCATCATGGATCGAGCCATGCCGATCATCGTCTGGTTCCGCCGCTCCACCACGCCATTCTGTTGCGACGAGTACGGCGCAGTGTGGTGTCGCACCACACCCTGATCCGCGCAGTACACAGCGAACTCCATCGAAGTGAATTCACCGCCACGATCAGTTCTCAACACACGCAGCTTCTTGCCGCTCTCCGCCTCCACGCGCGACTTGAAACTTCTTGATCGCCGCCGCCTCATCCTTCCTCATCAGGAGTTGTAGCCACATATAGCGACTGCAATCATCCACGAGCAAGAGAAAGTATCGCCGACCACCACGCGATACTTGGCCGCCTTTGGGAACGGCAGCCTCCTCTGCTTCTCGACCAGGCAGCTATCACACAGCTCGCCTGCGTGCTCGATGTGGGGCAACCCTCGGACCATCTTCTCTAGCCGACCAAGTGCGTCAAAGCTGAGATGGCTGAACCGGGCATGCCACAGTCACGGCTCCTCGGTGTGTCGTGCTGCCAGGCACACCGGCTGCTCCACCTTCAAGTCGAGCAGATACAACCAGTTCCAGGACCTCTTCACCTTGGTAAGAAGGCGCTGCTCCCGGTCTCTGATCATGAGGACACGGTCCTTGATCAGTACCTCGCTACCGCGCTCATCCAGCTGGCAAATGCTGATGATGCTTGAACGCAGCTGTGGGATGTAATATACATCCGTTAGGGTGCGGTGCTCGCCGTTCTGGCACCTAAAGATGATGGTGTCGCGCCCTCGGATCGCCACCCTTGAGCCATCACTGAACTTCACCGTGCCGGTGTCGACGAAATATGGTCGGCAGTCCACCGAGGGGGGTGCCCGTGGTGGTAGATTATCGGTAGGATGCGCGTAATCAGGAACCAGATGGTGACACAAGGCGCAGAGACAACGATTTAGACAGGTTCGGGCCGTCTGATCGACGTAATACCCTACGTCCTGTATCTTTGGTGTATTGTATTGATGATGTATATAGATTAACCTCCCCTCTAGGGGACCCTTGTCTCTCCTTATATACTCCGAAGAGACAAGGTTACAAGTAAAGTATCAAATTTGGTACTATTACAATATCTAGTACAACTTGTAATCTTGATGTGCACGCATTGATCTTACGGGCCGGGCCACCTCGGATGGTGCGGCCCATGTACCATCTTGTGGTACCCAGGGGTATATCCCCCACAGCTAGTCCCCGAGCGCCATGTATTCTGATGCGACACGTCGTTTTAACCTTCTCCGAACAGTGAAGCTTGAGTTCTTGACATCTCCGACCACCGTTGTCGCCGGAGAAGTAGGTTGTCCGAAGAATGTATGGTGCTCTTAAGAAGAAAGAAAAAGATTTCCGTCCTATGAAGTGTGCCCACTTGTATTTCTGAAAAGAAATGTAAGTGGATCCTGAGGCGTAGCATCCTCGATCATCAGAGGCGTAGGGGTCGAAAAACAAACACATTCACCGCAAGGTGAAGCGTGCCCACTTAGTCCCCGAGCCTGGTAGTAGGTGACGTAGGCACGTGGTGCCAGGGTCTAAAAAGAATTCCCAGTTAAGTTGAGAAACGAATCGTCGTACAAGCGATACGAGATGCACCGGCAGGTGCATCGTACCGATGTAGTCCCTGAGCTTGCTGGAAGGCGAGGTATGAGCCTTGTAGCAAGGTCTAAGTGAAAAAAATATCCCAACTGTATGCGAGTCGCCAGTCGCATGTAGTCGAGACGCAAAGTCCCCGAGCCGTGGTCGGAGAGTGGTCGAGGCAGTCCCCGAGCACAGGTCGAGGAGCGAGCGACGAAGTCCCCGAGCTGTGGTACTAGAGTGGTCGAGGTAGTCCCCGAGCACAGGTCGAGGAGCGAGCGACGAAGTCCCCGAGCCGTGGTCGGAGTGTGGTCTGACGAGTCCCCGAGCACAAGCGTGGTCTGGCCATAGTCCCCGAGCACGAGCGTGGTCTGGCTAGAGTCCCCGAGCACGAGCGTGGTCTGGCCAGAGTCCCCGAGCACGAGCGTGGTCTGGCCAGAGTCCCCGAGCACGAGCGTGGTCACAACCTCTCATGGCGCGCGCGCACGACGACCCCAATATTCTCTGCAAGGATTTAAACGACGGGCTCGTTGTTTTATATATAATGCGATCCGTAAGCTACTCATACCGTTCCCCATTGTCATCCGCCAACAAGAACCTTCTTCTTCCTCCGCCAACCCTATTGCCCCAAAAAGCATCACCAATCCCCTCGGTCTCCTGCATCCACCCACTTAGGAAGCACGACCTAATGGCGAAGGGAGACGCCTGTAAGAAAAGCAGTGGTCATGGCGAAGGAATGGTGGAAATCGCGAGCAACGAAAGGCACCATCGAGGACCTCGTCGCCATGGGGTGCTCCACAACAAGGCACTGCGGGATGGCGTGCCGGTAGGAGAAAGCTTCCCGATCCACAACCAGGTGAGATTGTGGTCTTTGAAGATTTCTTCAAACGGGGTTTTGGGATTCAGGCACCCTTTCCTTCGTGGTCTCTGCTTGTACTACGAGATTGGGATTTGCAATGCATCCCAACTCAATTCTTCTTGTCTCCACCTTCATCCATCTCTCGCGAGGCTTATGG